ATGTGTGAAGACACAGACACAGAAAGGAACCTGGAGCCTTTACAAGAAAATTGACAATATGCATAAATGCTCAGATATAATTTAAGATGAAAACATGCATTTATAAGTTAAAATCAATCATACTGAAATATAATGCAGAGTCGTTTTATAGTTCTTTTCTTAAGAGTACAAGGATAAAAATACATCAGTGTACAAGACCAGCAGGAGCATCATGGTTCAGTTCAGTCCAGGGTTCAAGTGTCAGTTCAGACCAATGAGATCAATTAGAACACTAGAGCTCAGTGTCTCCTTTTAGGAAGAGAGGAGAAACCTGACACTGACTGACCTCTAGTGGTTCTAATATTATTATTCACTTTCATGTCTCACTTTATATCGCACATAGTTTACATAGTATATGTTGTCTTAATTCACAGAAAAGTATTGTTTTTGTAGTAGTTTAGAATTTTATAAGGCAAGAAAAGAGATTAATTTATTATTTTTAAAATGTAATACAACATAATTAAAAGCAATCTTATAATACTGCATACATATAATTACAAATACTTCATGCTTGGGCTTGTCCACCCCAAGAGATGAGGACTGTAGGATTTTGTACAGCTGCTCTACCAACGTGAGTCACTGTGAGTCTCGAGCACAATAATAAACAGCAGAATCTTCAGTCTTCAGACTGTTCATCTGCAGATACACCTGCTGTCTGCTGTTGTCTCTGGAGATGGTAAACCGGCCTTGGACTGACTGAGAGTAGGATTTGCTGCTACCACCATTATCATTCCAGGCAATCCACTCCAATCCTTTTCCAGGAGCCTGTCTGACCCAGTTCATCCAGTGGCTGCTCAATGAGAATCCAGAGGCTGTACAGGTCAGTCTGTGGGATTCTCCAGGTCTTTTAACCACTGGTTCAGATTCTGTCAGAGTCTGACCATCAACACCTGGAAAAAAGAAGAAAAATGATCTGTTTCTTTGAGTCATGTTTTTTAAAGACAACTTTAAGTCACGATTAGAGCATCTCTTCACCTGCCCAGCAGAGAGTTAAAAGCAGCAGTCCTGTCCTATACTCCATCATGTTAAACTGTGTGTCCACTGTTCTCTGTCATCCTCTCTGCAGTCAGATAAGTAGAGGTGGAAGACGTCAGAGTTTTGCATTGACTCCTCCTCCTAGTTGGTTTCCCTTATTAAGCATAGTATGTATCATGTGACAACTGACCATTTATCATTTAACCTTAAAGTGAACTTTTTTCACAATGTTTAAATAAAAAAATTACACCTCAAAAAAGTTGTTCATTACATTTATCATCAGTTCAAAACAGACTGATCTCTGACAAAAGACAAAAAAGGGACATGTAATATGTTGGGATTCATTTTAAAATGAATCAGTGGAATACAGTGTCTCAGTTTTAGACCAGATGAAAATGAGAATTTACTTTAATTACTATTTTAATTTTGATTAAATCATTTATTAAGTTTAATTTCTTTATGGCTCATTTGTCTTTTGTTGTTGTTGTTGTTGTTGTTGTTGTTGTTGTTGTTGTTGTTGTTGTTTTTGTTTTTGTTTGTAGACCCATAGATTGTGATGTAAACAGCTGAATTATTAATACAAACAACCAAATAATTAGGTCTGATCATTGTAAAAGCAAATAGCCTCTTTCCAGTCTACAGTGTTTACATCAGTGTTTTAGCTCCTTTCCCTCACTCTGCAACAGACATGTAGAGATGGAAGAGAAACACAGCACTTGTCACACATCTCTGGAAAATAACGTTTTAGATCATCATTTTAAATTCTGATTACAATTATGTTTTGTAATGATGAGGGAACTGTTAATGTTATTCATCATACCATCATTTATTTATTCTCCTTTATTTATGCTCATCAGCATTTGATGGACTTCCATATGCTAGATGTGAGCAAAATTACAAGTGTAGTAATACAATGTGTCTGAATATTTATGTCAATGTGATATTTCAGTTTTTTAAATAAACATTTGATGAGAGAAAGAAAATATAATTTTTTTGCTGCAACATAACAAATTGTGAAAAAAAAGTCGAGGGATCTCAAGACTTGGTTGGTTAGTTTTTGCAGGTTTGCATGAAGAATTTTCGATAGCTGCAGATGTTTGCAGATGTTTGAAGGCACAGAGAGACTTAGAGTTTCAAGAGTAAAACAGCTGTGCAGGAACCAAAACTCATTTGTTTGTTCTTTTAGATTCGTGTTTGCTATATGGAATACAATAAAAATAGAGATTTCATGGTCTTAAACTGTGAATATTATTTGCACATTTTGCTAGACATTCCTCTGAAATTAAATAATGACAGTGATCACTATGTTATCATAGTTTCAACATGATAATCCTTTCTATATAATGTTTTTATCTCCTTACATAAAATAATAAATGTTTAAGTGACTGTGTTTGTGTTTGTGACTATCGTCGTTACTCTCAACTGACAGATCACCACTGTCTTCTCTCAGAAGTGGTTTTAATGAAGCTCAGGTATATGATGGACAGACTGACATCATCTTATTTTGCAATTCATTTGTATTATGAAGCAATTTGAATTTTAGTTTTTGATCAATTCTTTGCTCAAGAAATGTAACTTTGAAGTCCAGTCATACATCAGCTGTTCTTAAATGTCACTGTGTTGTATCATTTAGATTTATTTGCCCTGAAGACATTAATCCTGTGAGGCTCTGTAGAGTATATCAACCCTATCTCCTGCTGTAGGGGCAGTTATTCAGGAAACACCTCTACAGGTCGTATCAGAGGGTCAAATGACTTACAGTATATGGTTGTTTAGGTTGGCTGACTTCTTGGTTGATGTTCATATGTCATACTATTTTGAGGACATCAGGGGAGATAAACCTCAATAAGTGAGGAAAGACACACACACAGAGACAAACATATCACCTCTTTAAGAGTCAAAACACAGTAAAGCTCATTATGATTATTTAATAGTACCTTATTTAATTAAATTGTATTCAAGTCAGTCAAAGTCAAGGATCAAAGACTGCATGATGCAGTTATCTTTTCAGTGAAATGTTTCTTGCTCAATGAAAATGCCAAAGTTTAGTAATCAGTTGAAATCGTTCAAATGAACTTTAAATATAAACACTGTGAAAATAGCTGTAATGTTTTATTTATATTCCTTTAACTTCTTCATTGCTAAATATGTTCAAATACTTTATCTCTTCTACAGTGAACTGGTGAGTGTTACAAGTGTTCAGGCACTGAGGGGTTTTTGTTCAGGTCTACTGATGGTTTGTGTTATTGTGTGTCTCTGGCACAGTAATACACAGCAGTGTCTTCAGGCTGTATATTCTGTCCATTTAGAGTCACTCTGTTGCTGGAAGAGTCTAAGTTGATACTGAACTTGTTCTTTAGTGAATCTTTTAAGAGTGTGGTGTATCCAACGCGTGCAGCTCCAATCCACTCCAGTTTCCCTGCAGGCTGTCTGATCCAATGTGTGTGATGGTTACCAACAGAATAAGAGACCTGACAGGTGATGGCGAGACGTTGACCTGGCTGCACAGTCACAGAGGCTGGCTGTGTCAACTGTTCACACTTCACACCTGTTAAAAAAGAAAATGTTCAAAGTTCATGATCAAGTTATACTATGAAAGAAGAAATGTTGACCATGACAAATCCAGAGAGACTCACAGGATCCAGCTGCCAACGGCAGCAGCAGAGCTACAGAAAACATGGTTTATGGTGAAGCTGATGAGCTGTGAACTCCACTGACAGTCTGATCTGAAGTTTTTATAGCTGAGTAACAAGGAAAGTCACTGAGTTTGCATAGAATCAAACACATGAAGCTTCAGTGTTGGTCTCACTGGAGCCAAAAGAAGAGTCTGTTCAGTGTTATTATACCTGCAGAGTTAACACGTCTGGAAATCACCTCTGCTTTACATATATTTTAATTTCATTACACACTGAATTGTAACATTTTGAAATGGTCAATTAAAAGACTTGTAACTGTTACATTAAATGCAAACAATGTGGTGGTGGATCAGGAATGTTAATGTTAATATCAACATACAGGACAGCTCTTGGGCAAATTTTCCCCTCCAATGATGGAAATCATTCAATAGATTAATATTAAAGAATGAACATCTACAGAAACTAACAAACCAACCACCAGTAATGTTATTTTCTGTGAGCCATGTTTACACTTTGTTTAATTTTTTTTCAAAGCATTTAATTCCACTTTCAGAATTATATGAGCTGTTTTAGTTAACCAGGTTTACTCCAACCTCAGATACCTAAACATAAAAGAGCAGTATTTATGAAATTGCAGCATTTATTTATTAAGTCACTTATATCTTATGCTCATTTATCTGATGCTAACAGAAGTAGTGACTGCAGCCAGGGTCATGTAAAAAGTATAAAAAATTAAGATTGCTGTTCCTGGTGTCTTAGTTTGCTGTGACGGACTTTATGTTTGGACTTTTGGACTCTTTATGTCAGGACTTTTGTTTTATTTCCTGTTTTATTTTGTAATCACTTCCCTTATGTGTTTCTCATGTTATGTCTACTTCCTGTCTTTGTCCTGTTTCCCTCCTTTGTGATTGTCTGCCGCGCACTAATGTGTTACACCTGTCTTCGATCTCCCTTGCCTCCCTTGTGTATTTAGTCTCTGTGCTCCCACTTGTCTCTGTCAATCTGTCTGTTGATATCCTGATGTACTCCAGCTTAGCTGCTGTTCACCTTCATTTTGGATATTTAGTTCTTTGCTGTTTCACCAGTTTTGTAAGTTTCCTTTTGTAAATTAGAATATCTTTTCTTCCCAACAAACCCCACTTTAGTGTTGGCTGCTTTTGGAATCAGTTTTTCCCCTAAACCTGACAGCTGGACTTGAAATGTTTCAGTTCAGCTTTTTGTTCTGCCCATGTAGACATTTTATTGTGTCAGACCATTAGTATTACTCCCCCATGTTTTAGACATTTCCCTGCAATTAAAATCTGACAGTGATTACTATGCTAGACATTAAACATGTGAGACAGTACAGGATCAGGATCTGTCTGCTGGGATGAACAACTCAGTGTGACTACTGGTGGTGCTAAGTAGAGGAAGTAGTTTTTGTATGACACTGCTATCACTGTCTCTCACTGTGTCTCTTCGGGCACAGTAATACACTGCTGTGTCCTCGGTCTTCAGACTGTTCATCTGTAGATAGACTTTACTGCTGGAGTCATCTCTGGAGATGGTGAATCTGCCCTGGACTGACTGGGAGTAATAGATTGGAGTACTAGCTGTGCTTATATAAGCGATCCACTCCAGTCCTTTACCAGGAGCCTGTCTGACCCAGCTCATACGGTAGCTGCTGAATGTGAATCCAGAGGCTGTACAGGTCAGTCTGTGGGATTCTCCAGGCCTTTTAACTGCTGGTTCAGATTCTGTCAGAGTCTGACCATCAACACCTGTCAACACAAGAGAGATCAGTCATTTGCTATAATGTGACAACCTTTTGAAGATAGATTTAATTCAAGATCAGAGATACTCATCACCTGCCCAGCAGAGAGTTAAAAGCAGCAGTCCTGTCCTATACTCCATCATGTTAAACTGTGTGTCCACTGTTCTCTGTCATCCTCTCTGCAGTCAGATAAGTAGAGGTGGAAGACATCTGAGTTTTGCATTGACTCCTCCTCACAGGGAATATTATGAGAGAAAAGTCTTCAGAAGTTGAATTTTGTGATCTGAACTTTTATTGTTTAAAAAGGACTTTTGGATTCATGATATTTTTAAAAGGTTAATTCATAAGAAAAATCCAGAAAAAAAAGAACAAACAAAAACCACTGAACTGAAACAAATACACAAATGTTTGATATTATTACACACATGTGCAACTAGCAGATGTATCAGAATGGTCAGCGCAGTTAGCATCTTTTATTTGTTTATGTTCTTTGTTGGTTTCTACCTGGCAGTGGCTGACACAGTGTTAGTGGTTGTGCTGGCCACACATCACTGCAAGTTGATGGGATCAGCTCCTCCCGTATTTGACTTATGAATCCTCAGCTGTCTGAATCTGTTTTTATGAGACTGTCATTGGTTCACTGCAGTTCCAAGATGGTAATATGCAGTTGTGCTGTTGACTGTTTATTTCAACCATGATATGACTTGTATTATATAGAAAGCACCATATGGACACGTTAGGTTAAAAACTTGATTTTCTCATATTTCTGGCAAAACATAGTATTTAAGTAGATTTAAGTTGGCTGAAGATACAGATTCAGTAACCATTGCAGTTGTGAGTCAGAGATTTGTCTTTGTATTCTTTTCTTTTTTAAATATTGATATTATGGAAGAGAGAATTTTTAATGATTAATATCTTGGTGGATTGTGACCTTTAAAAAGAAAGTTGGCAGCTGAACTAAGTTCATTACTGTAAAGCTTTAATCTATCATAGTGTTATTCATTTCATTGTCTAAAATACGTACAATGATGTTTCATTGACAAGTCACAGCATTGAAACTGATGAAAAGTGTTACTGTTAAAAGAAAGAACCATTCATAAAATCTAAAGACCGTTTCCATCTTGACTGTAACAGTGAGCTGGTGTGAAATCATTAGTGGTCTGAGGGCTCCTCCTCTGGTGGCTTCATGTTACAAGTGTTCAGGCACTGAGGGGTTTTTGTTCAGGTCTACTGATGGTTTGTGTTATTGTGACTCTCTGGCACAGTAATACACAGCAGTGTCTTCAGGCTACACATTCTGTCCATTTAGAGTCACTCTGTTGCTGGAAGAGTCTAAGTCGATACTGAACTTGTTCTTCAGTGAATTTTTGTAGTATGTTGTTGATCCAACAGCAGCGCTTCCAATCCACTCCAGGCTGGCTGTGTCAACTGTTCACACTTCACACCTGTTAAAAAAGAAAATGTTTTGTTATAAATGATCAAGTTCTACAGCAAGAGAAGAAATGTTGACTATGACAAATCCAGAGAGACTCACAGGATCCAGCTGCCAACAGCAGCAGCAGAGCTACAGAAAACATGGTTTATGGTGAAGCTGACGAGCTGTGAACTCCACTGACAGTCTGATCTGAAGTTTTTATAGCTGAGTAACAAGGAAGGTCACTGAGTTTGCATAGAATCAAACACATGAAGCGTCAGTGTTAGTCTAACTGGAGCCAATAGAAGAGTCTGTTCAGTGATTTTATATCTGCAGAGTGAAAAAATTATTTATCATTACCTCTGCTATCTATTCATATTCTAATTTCATTTCATGTCTAACAAAATTTTGAAATTACATCTGTATTTACAGAGGTGAAACAGCTAACTTTCTTTTACCTGTAAATTGTTAAAGCCTAACTATCTTGTATTAACAACAATTCCATATTAAAACATTATGTAAATGTTTATATAATTGCAAACAACAATTAAAAATCATTTTTTGAAGGAGGAACAATCAACAGATATTGTTGTTTCCGTAAGAGGACTTGTTGATTATCATGGATAAATGAAAGCATATGTGTTGAAATCAGCAATTTAAATAATGATGATGATACGCACCCACTGAAAAAAGAAGTAAGCAACCATGAATTTTAACTATGCAGCCGAAACACTACACTGATTGTTTAAACACTATATTATTATACTGAAGATGAAAAACCTCTCTGTACAAAGAACTTGCACAAAATAGGATTCAGGTTTGTCCAGTCTGTTTGTAAATGTTGACCCTCATCTCCCTCTTAGGAGATCACTGTTGTCTTCTCTTGGAAATGTTTTAAATGAAACCACTGCGTGTGATTTTTTTATTTAGCTGTTGATTTGTAATATGGAACTTTTTCAGAATTGTTTTATTGTGAAATATAAGTTTAAATCCCGTAATTCATTAAAGGTACTTTCTTTGTTGAAATCACTGACTTCATATTAATCATGTGAGACAGTGCAGGGTTTATCAACCCATTTTTTGCCCAATAATCCTATGAGGTGTTTCTCACTACATGGATGAATTGTTCTCCATCTTTAATCACAGTCTCATGAGCACACAGAGAGCATACACAGCAGCTCCTTCAGGCCTCCTGCTCTTCATGTTGAGGTCTACTCACTGTCTGCTGGGATGAACTGACACTGGCAGATGGAGCTGCAGTCCCTGCTGATGGTAAACACCTTGTAGTCAAACTTTACTACTGAATATGTATTAAATGAAGTTAACGCGTGACTTTTGTTTATGGTTTAAACATTTCAGTGCAGAAGACCAGCAGGAGCATTAAGGTTTAGCTCAGTCCAGGGTTCAAGTGGAGAGAGACACTTGACACATACTGCCTTCATGTGATTTTATTACTGATAGAGAAATGTTATTTTTCACTCTCATGAAATACTATTTATTTTACATCATTTCCAAACATCATTATGTCTTAATTTGATTAAATGTATTTTATTTGTTGTTTGTTTTCAGCGGCCACATTGTTGTACTGTCTTTAATCCTTTCATGAACAAATTCTCTTTTTTGTGTTTTTTATGTGTTTAATGTTTAGACATATTTTCAGGAAAAGTTTTAAGGAACTTGTATAGTACAGCGACCATTGTTCATTTATCAAAAGTAGATATGTAAGCAGAATATATACTACAAAACATAAGATTGTTGACATAAACAAATTATATAAAATCAAACATTTAAGTACCAAATATAAAAGCACATGATGCTTCACAAGGTGAAGGCTGTAGGATTTTGTACAGCTGTTCAACCAACTCCAGTCACTGTGAGTCTCCAGCACAATAATAAACAGCAGAATCTTCAGTCTTCAGACTGTTCATCTGCAGATACACCTGCTGTCTGCTGTTGTCTCTGGAGATGGTAAACCGGCCTTGGACTGACTGAGAGTAGAATTTGCTGCTACCAGTGCTATGCAAGGCAATCCACTCCAGTCCTTTTCCAGGAGCCTGTCTGATCCAGGCCATGTAGTAGCTACTGAATGCGAATCCAGAGCCTGTACAGGTCAGTCTGTGGGATTCTCCAGGTCTTTTAACCACTGGTTCAGATTCTGTCAGAGTCTGACCATCAACACCTGTCAAGACAAAACAGCATCGGTCATTTGATGTAACTTGAGAAACTTTTGAAGACAAATTCAACTCAATATCAGTCAAACTCTTCACCTGCCCAGCAGAGAGTTAAAAGCAGCAGTCCTGTCCTATAGTCCATCATGTTAAACTGTGTGTCCACTGTTCTCTGTCATCCTCTCTGCAGTCAGATAAGTAGAGGTGGAAGACATTTGAGTTTTGCATTGACTCCTCCTCACAGGGAGGAGAGCGGTGGAGTGGACTTGGATGTCTTGAGTTTAGAGATAGTTGGAGGTTTGCAGTTGTACATGCAAGTTGACAACTGCAATGTAAAACAAAAAACTTCTCAAACCAAAGAAAGTTTCTTTCTTCCATATTTTTAGAACTTGTTTGAACTGTCCCAAGATGCCAAACAACACAACATAACACAATACTTTTATTAAGGCTTTAAAATTAATTTATACCCAGTTTAGATTTGTTGAGCAGTGTTTGTTTGCATTGTGGATATATCAGGCATAAACGTACACTCAAAAGAAATTAGTCACATTCAAGTTCAATTTCATTTTATTATCATGATCTTTGGGGGGATACAAAAAGTGGTGCAATTTGTCCCTTGTCCTGACTGCATTTAAAAGCATAAAATAACAAACAATAAGGATAAAATAATCAAAATATATCAAAAACTTCAGAGCCAGAATCAGAAAAATCACTGAAAACACATTCAAATGCATGATTCTAAAAAGCTGATCACATGAATGTCCCGTAGCCTGGTGGTTAATTTGACAACTGCTGTAAAAAATCGATATTAGATTAATTACTATTATTGTTGAGATAAAAAGACATAAGAAGGAAGTGAAAAACTGCAACAGCAAAGTGTCTTTTTCATGCTCTTTTGATTATTGTTATCCCAATTAATATGTTCTACTGCCCCCTGCAGGTCTCTGTGACACATTTCTGGAGAGTTTTTGTACAGCCTCTCTGCTCACTTTAACCAGTGTGTTTCTTTGGCACAGTAATACACAGCAGAGTCCTCTGGCTTCAAGTTGGACAGTCTCAGATGCACCATGCTGTTGCTGTCATCTCTACTGATTTCTGCACGTCCTCTCACACTGTTGGCATAAACATTATTACTGGCAGTAGAGAAGCCAATTCCTATCCACTCCAGTGTTTTTCCTGCAGGTTGTCTGATCCAGTTCATAGTGCAACAGGTAAATGTGAAGCCAGATCCTCTGCAGGAGAGACTGAGAGTCTCTCCAGGCCTCTTCACTACTGAACTGGAAGGAATGGACTCCATACTCTGACCTGTACAACCTGATGATACGAAAGGAGAGAGACAGTGAGACGGTCATCTGGGAAGTTTTCTAGTATCACTGACTGACCATCAGTCACTGCTGTCTGATAAAAGATGAAACATCAAGAAGCAGGAGAACTCACAGGACAGAGAGAGAGCAACCAGCAGAAGAGTGAGTGTGTTCATCATCCTGAGTCTGGAGATGTGACCTCTGATGCTGCACACAAACTACAAGACCAGTCAGCAGGACACAAGTACACTACACAC